CCACCACCGCCAGTCGCCAGGCGGTCCACTTCTTATTATCACGTCGGGGTCACCAGTTGTCGCAGTCGTGGTGGCCAAAAACACAAACAACTGGGGTAGATGCAACGCAAACTATGCTTGATTATTTTTTAGGTACCTTATTTATACCCAGCTCTCCTTGTCGTGGCTGCTGCTTATTGGTGAGGGCTACAAAGGACAGTAGCTAGTAACAGATTTGTGATTGGATGATTCTTAGCTTGGCCAGTTTCTGCTCTGTGGCCAAACTTCCTGAAACTTGTTAATAACTGTCTGCTGTCTTCGTGTGAACTCCCTATCTCATAGATACATTCTAATCTTTTCAAGGTTAACATTCTCTACTAAGGGAGCCAGGGATTTCACAGACCAGCTGCAATCCCTGACAAACCATCAATACTTTTTATAAATATTGCATATCATTTTGTCAGTGGAGACAAGTGGCTCTGGCAAACTATTCTCACTGTGCAGTATGGCAGGTCAAACATTGCTTAGGCAGCCAGAGTTCCCTATGTTATGCAGGCCTGAGATCCTCTCAAAGAAACGAGGAAAAGCTGCCACGTGAGTAGCTGACTTTACGAATCCATGACTCTTACGCTGTGTGGATTTGGAGCTTACCCCTTTTCTTGACATTTTGTTTTGAGTAAATTGAGATTCTAACAGGAGACTTCAATTTGCGTTTGTAGGAAGGTCTCCAGTTCTTAACACTGCTTCCTGTAAAATGTGGGCTGCTTTGCTGAACAAAGATCATTGGGATACTGTTGCAATTTGTTTAAATTCAGTAGTGATATTTAAAATGGTGTATTTGTATTGCTGAAAAAGCACCGTTAAGTCAAGACTGTAGTTAATAGCATGACACAAGAAAATGCAATTGAATGACAGCTTTATTTTGTTTCATGTAGGAGGGTGTGAGTATTAATAAGTCACTGCTAACGCTTGGAAAGGTTATTTCTGCACTCTCTGAGCAGTCTCAAAATGGAAAGAAAACATTCATTCCTTACCGGGAATCTGTCCTTACATGGTACGTACATTTCCAAATTCCTTATGTAGAAGCAAAGACCATCTCTGACTGTGGGTTCCACTTCTGTTGAGGAAGTATCCCTTCCTTTACCATATACATTAAAGAAATGGGTTGATGTGAAGAGCAGGGTGGACAGAATAATTAAATCTCTAATTAGGGAGCTAGTGTACTTGCAACCCTTTTTCCTCTATATACTGTGCTAAGCAATGTGTTTATGCCTTTCTGTTTTCTGATAATATTCTCACTTTGCTGCTGTTCCTTCTCTTCTTGCTATAGAAGAGATTCTATGTATCTTTTGGCCTCTCTTGACTTCTAAAATCTTTTTTGATCTTGAATGGTAAGAAACTGTATTCTTCAATTACTTGCTTATTTTGTCATCTTGCTTAGAAATTTCAATTTCACACTGCTGCTTACCTTAACAGCAAGAGGCTTGCCAGCAAGTGGTTAAGTTGATGTAAAATGAGGCAGAGGCTTTTAGGTGAGGGGCCATGGCACAAAACTCATTTTCATAGCACTGCTAATTCAATAGTGGTTGACATCCAGGTAAAGATAAAACCTCAAAAATGGAAATTGTTAGAGAAATTCTAATTTTTTTGCACCCAGAACAAGTGTTCTTTCTGCTTAGAAATCAAAAATGTGTATTTCTTACCTATGCATGGAAGAAATGAGCCTCTTCCATCAGGTAAAGAACAAACAGGACCTTTTGGTTTGGACTTCAGTTAAAACTGCTTTCAGATGAGTGTTTAAAAATTTGCATAATTGCTCAGATTAACAAGTCTGATTTTTTTTGTCTCTGTCCTGGGGAGGGAAATAATTTCTATCTTCATGTCAAACAAAGGTTGTTAAAGGAAAGTCTTGGTGGAAATTCCCGAACTGCTATGATAGCCACAGTCAGTCCAGCTGCCAGCAGTATAGAAGAAACACTCAGCACTCTTCGCTATGCAAAACAAGCTTGTTCAATAGTCAACATTGCTAAAGTAAATGAAGATGTGAATGCCAAATTAATCAGAGGTAAGGCTGACCCGTGAAGTCTTGGTGTTTTCTTTTTTTTCTTTGTGTTTCTAACTTAAGACTTTATTACCAGCAGTCTCTTGCTTGTGGTTCCTTCACTCTTAAAATGTTTCTAGTCAAGACTGTTAAACTACAAACTTTTCTTTCTTTACTTTTCATTAACTTAATAAATATGTTTCTGACATACACTTCTACATCATGTGTAAAATTTCATAAATGTGAAAACTTAAAGTATGTTTACCTCCCCTAGAGAAGAATCCAAATCACAAAATTTTGTTGCTAGAGCAGAACTTCAGTTTAGTCACATCAGAATGAATAAAAGTGCTGTTGAGTGATAGTTTTGTTCCTTTTTTCTTAATGACCCACTGGAGTTCTGTAATCAAAAAAAAAATCCTCTCTGCTTTTCATGTGCATTCCTGTAACTGCATTAAACACAATCTAAGAGATTTTTTTATTTTTAATATCATGTTTGTATGTGAGCTTTTTGCCAAATTTAAGATGATGTCTTGAGATCTTTGAATAGGGAAAGGTATTTTGCTTTTCATTAAGTACTTGGATGAATATTCCAGAATCGTATTGTAATGTCTAACCTTTATTTTGTCTACACTTGTATGTACTGTGTGTCTATGCAGAACTAAAAGCTGAAATTGAAAAACTGAAGGCAGCTCAGAAAAGTGCGCAGAATACTGACCCTGAAAAGAACAGACGTTATTTGCAAGAAATAACTTCTCTGAGGATAAAACTGCACCAACAGGAAAGGGACATGGCAGAAATGCAAAGGTGAGGCAGTCCTTAATGTCTCTTGACCTAACTAATGGTAATATTATATGCTGGATTTTTGTTTCCTAATATGTTGTGTTGAATCATTTTCTCCCTAATATATTAAGGGCCTGGAAAGAAAAGCTTGAACAAGCAGAAAAAAGGAAATTAGAAGAAACCAAAGAGTTGCAGGTACATTTGTTTTTTTTTATCTCTCTCCCTGCTCTCAATAGAAGATTATATGGAAAGTATATACAATGAGCAATCTTAGTAGAACAGCTAGGATATTTTCTGCATTTGATTTCTGTAATGCTATTTGACTACTGATTTTGACTTTGTCCAAATTTTTAATAAATTCTTGACTGCATTTTTTATGCTGAGCTCTTTTGTCCAGAAAGCAGGAATTGCCTTCAAAATGGACAATCGTTTACCTAACCTTGTTAACCTCAATGAAGATCCCCAACTTTCTGAGATGCTGTTGTATATGATCAAGGAGGGAGAAACAACTGTTGGCAAGCATACACTAAATTCAAGACATGATATTCAGCTTTCTGGAGCACTAATTGCTGCTGATCACTGGTAGGTAGTAGTCTTTAAAGTTGCCCCGTTTTATACCTACGTGAGAGTAGGAAATATTTCTTCTGATCCTTACCCCTGTTTTTGAAGTCACTCTTTTTTCTGGCAGTAGCAAAATTACTTTTCTAATCAGACCAACTTTTTTTGGAGATGTTTGAGCACTGAACTGTACAGAAATTAAGATTTCTATTTCCCACTAGGAATTTGAAAAAAAACGTATTGGTTTTGATAATATAGTGACGCCTTGCCCTTGAGAGAGAGCTAGTCTAACAATGCTGTGTACTTTTCAATGTAATGATATTGTGAAATACCCTGACAATTTTCACTTAAACCTGAAAGTCAGCAAAATATAAATGCAGATATTTCCATGAAGTTAGTTCTACTAAGGTGGTTAAGTAAAGGCACTAAAATCCATGTTTGGCTTTGGATTTTTTTTTTTTTTAATTTTTAACCAAATTTCTGAACTGATAGACACATTTCCAGTGTTTCAGTCCTCATTGCGATGACCTCTGTTACTTAGGAAAGCAAACCAGCATTACAATAATGATATGTATTGTTCTTAATAAACTTGTATGGAAGGAATAGTTTATTATCTTAGAGAATGCATTTTTTTAATCTTTTGAGGTTTATCAATTTTACCTAGGAATTTAATTTGGTGAGTTGTTAAAAGACCTAAACATTTAATGTTGATTTTTGAATTTCCATTAATGTACCCTTTCTTTTTTATATAATACTTTCACTTCAAAAATGTTATATTACTTATGTACATCAAACAATCTCTAGTCACAGCTAAAGGAACTGATGTGAAGGGAAAGCTTTTCTTTTAAGCAGTTTTCGGTAGCTACCTCTCTTTGGAAACAGTAATTACTGTGCACACAAGTGTGTTTTTTCTCGATCTTCTCTCCCCATTACTAGATATCCTGCCACTTGGTTATAGTATGGAATAGTAAATTAAAGTATCTCTGGAACAGAACAAACATTTTCGTAGATCTTGTATTCTTAGTTATATTGACTCATATGTATGAACAAAATAATTAGACTATTCACAGACCTATTGTGGTTTTTGTGTGCTATTATGTGTAAAGTAGCTCCTCTTCTGAATAAGATTTTTTTTGAAAAGTAGCAAGAAAATTGGCCAAATTTCAGAAATTTGCTAAGTGTTTCCTGTAATTCACTCGAGACAGAATGGTAGAAGAAATTTAACTAATCCATTACTGAAACTATGGAGAAGAAATGGTCACAATAGTAGATTATGATCTTTTTATTTTTCTAAATAGTGAATTTTTACATAGAGATCAACTCATTTCATAACTGACAAATCACATTTTGAAGAAGTATAGCATTGTATGAAGACAATGACAGACATTCTGAAGCATGAATTTTTCTTGAGAAAGATCACTTGCAGTTAATCATCTACTCCTCTCAAATATTTCTTGTTTTCAGTACTATAAAAAATATTGATGGCAAAGTGAGTATTATCCCACTGGGAGAAGCAAAGACGTATGTTAATGGGAAACATATTTCAGACCCAACAGATCTACATCATGTAAGTAATTTTCAGTTACTTACATGGTTGTGTAAATGATATTAAAATTTCTGATGGTGTCTTTTTGTAAGGTTCTGCAACTTTTAAATATCTATCTCTCTCTTGATTTCCACCCAGTTAGCCCTTTCCTATGTTTTATTCACTGTATCTTTAGCTGCAAGCCTAAAGCTATAGACAGTTGTTTTTCTCTCCTTCCTTGCAGGGTGATCGAGTGATCCTTGGGGGAGACCATTATTTCAGGTTTAATCATCCAGTAGAGGTTCAGAAAGTCATAAGGCCATCTTGTGGCACAACACTTCTGTGTGATGGTCCAAAAGATTTTGAATTTGCAAGAAATGAGCTTCTTGTTGCACAAAGAACACAGTAAGAATTGTATCTTTTTGTTCTAAAACCAAATTCAGTTGCTAGTGCAGCATTTAGTTCAAGAAATAATTAAAGGAATGACTTTGTTAGGTTAGAAAATAGCAAGATTATTATTGTTAGCTCGTGACTTGGCTGACATGCATGCTTAGGTATAAGAGGTGGTGACCATAAGCCAATCTCGTCCTTAAGAATCCAGAATTTTTGTTGTTTGTTTTTAAAGAAAAACAAAAACATGTAGGTCCAGTGATCCCCAAGCGGAGTGTTTCCTTTCAGTGATTTATTTTTCCTCTTCAGGTACATAATAAGTCATAGGTACTTTTGATGTTTTGGGATTAAAGACTGAAAAACAAGCATGGTAATAAAATTGGAGGGAACCTTGGTCTTCTATAGCAGTTGGGGGAACTACTGACGCTACTGTTATTGCTACTTGTTTCATTTCTGGGAGTTAATATGCAAGTCTTAGTGATTTGAAATGTGCTCTTCCAACTAATTTTGTGTGGGTTAGTTTCTAATATAGTTCTTAATTTTGTGGAAGATGAGTAATATATCTGAAAATGAAATATAGTTGAAAATGTTGTGTTTCTTCCTCTGTATTTTCCCTATGAAACTAAAAACACTTCAACAAAGTATAAGATATGTAAAGTAACTTTTTATTATTAAAATTAGAGCTTCTTGGACATTTCACCTCCTTTTGTGATGAAGCATATCATCTTTTTAGCTTCTCTGCAGTCTGAGAGCTTCAAGCCAGTGTTCTAAATGTACAAAATCTGTCACTTGCAGGCTTGAATCAGAAATAGAAGAGGCACGACTCAAAGCCAAAGAAGAAATGATGCAAGGCATCCAAGTTGCAAAAGAGATGGCGCAGCAAGAGCTGACATCACAAAAAGAAGTTTATGAAAGCAAAATAAAATCACTAGAAGCAGAACTGGTGAGCTGTTGTGTCAGTACATAAAATAGCATAATGTAGCTTTTTCTCTGTCAGTCTAACACAGGCAGATATCTAAAAGCAGTTATTAGAATTATATGCAATAATAAAGACTGTGTGTGCTATAGGTGACAAAAACCTGTTTAGTCTGTGAACAAAGCGAGTGTTTTCCATTGCTGATAGTGTGCTGAGTAATCTTGTAGGACCCACGTTTTCAGTATGTTGAAGTGAAAATAAGCTTTGTTTGTCTTGAGAGATGAAAATGGTGTACATCTTCTGATCTGGTCATTCTTTCTTAGAAAGAAGAATCTTATAAGAAGCAAATGCAAGAACTGAATAATAAAAAGGCTGCAAACAAAATACAAGAGTTGGAAAAAGCAAAGCAAGATCTTGAGCTAGAAGTAAACTTTAACAGGAAGCGTCTGGAAATGGAGACAATAGCTACTAAACAGGTAATTTAAGCTTTTTGTAGTTGATCAGACATGCTTTTTTAAATCATGGGACTATTCAAATTAATTGCATCTAATGAGAAAATTTTATTCTAAATGATTTTATATGAATAGATAGATAGCATACTTAAAGAGTAATTAAGATATTTTGTTAATTTGAGAGAGAAACCAGAGCTGGCCATGCGATTTCTTACATAATGTGGACCGTTTTGTTGACGTACCAAATTTTAGTGACTGTTGCCTGTGCCAAAAGTTGAGGCTAAACATGAGCTTAAGTAATGATTGAAATTACAGTTTCTTTTCACTCTGTTTCTAAAGCATGTTGGTATCTAAGTAAAACAAGAAAATAGTCCAAGTTTGAAGACCAAGTGCTTCATGTGGTAGAGAAGTTTTTCCTTCTAAGAAGAAAAGATTATCTTATTTGTGTTCTAAGAATCCCTTTAAAATAAACAAAAAAGCAAATCTTTGCTTGAATAAACACTGCTAAGAGTGTTTTTGGTTTTTCTTTTTTTTTTTTTTTTTAGGCTCTAGCAGATCATACTATTCGTCATGCAAAGATACTTGAAGCTCTGGAAGCAGAAAAACAGAAGATAGCTGAAGAAATACAAACCCTTCAAAAGAATCGTGGAAGTGAGAAAAAGACTACAAAAAGTATGTCCTAATGTCCCGAGGGCAATGGAGGCTTCTTTCTGTCATTGGGCTGTGATTTAGGGGTTTGGAGGTCAAATCTTTTTCCTCCTTTTTTCCTTCTGACACTTCTCCAGTGATTTTGAATAAGAGCAGCTTTATGACTGGTTGTGCCAGAAGATCTGTTATTTTGTGATGTGTGGGACTTTGGGGAGTTAACGTGGATGGGAAGGTCTATTTTTCAATATATCTGGCATCCAGGAAACTGTTATTGACTACATACTTGGAGATTTTTAACTCTTATGTCATTGTATCATGTTATGTTTGAACTACTTAATCATTATGCGCCATATTCTGTATCAGTTCCTCTTAACTGGAATTCGCTGAAACTGTCCGTGATGATCAAGGAGGCCAATGCCATTAGTAATGAACTGGGGAAAAACACTGTTTTCTGCAGGTGAGAATCAGCTGCTTAACAGGTATATTGGGGTGTGGGGGCAAGATGTGGGCATGTGCAGAGAGCTGTTGATTTTAACAGACACAGTAATGTTTCTGGTTTTGTGAAAATGATGTCCTAAGCAATTACTGTGCTTGTAATGAAGCAAACTCTTAGTCTCTGTTTCCTCCCAAATATGCTATTTTCTTTTGATGTATGTTTTTGTCTTTTTATTGATTTTATCTTTTTATTAATGTCTCCTTAAAATTTTGTCATTCTCAGGCATGACAAAATTGATGATAAAACAGGAACAGCAACTTCTGTTCAGGTACAGGTTCGTAATACCAAACTGGGAATTGCAACTTTCTGGAGCTTGGAGAAATTTGAGTGCAAACTAGCAGCACTGAAAGAACTTTACGAGGTCTGTAAGAACCAAATTAAAAATACAAACGGTCATAAATACTACAGTATTTTGATAACCAAATATATTGAAATGATACTTTGATAATTTTGCAGAAGGAAAATCAGGAGGCTTTCTTATCTATAACTAAAAGGCACTGTGTTCATTTGCTTAATTACAAAGAACAAGAGAAATGTATTGCTTGTAGACATGATCATGTATGACGTGCATATGTGAAATATGTGTGTATATGTAAGCTTATCTAAATTTCTGTGCTTGTGCATATGTGAAATATGTGTGTGTATATGTATGTAAGCTTATCTAAATTTCTGTGCTTCAGTATATGAATTTCCTGGTTATGTAAGTTCTTGTCATTCCAGTGACTGTTACACATAGCCTTGAAACAAAGTTCAAAAATTAGTAGAAAAATTATTCAAATATATAAACAAGTATTGAGATGCTTACTATTTCTCAAGATAAATCAGGTTCTAGAGTAAATATCATACCTGAAGTTTGTAAAGGGAGAAGTTACATTTGTTGGATTTCTGAAGCTATTCCATGGATAGGGAATTTTATGAAACTGTTTTGGAAGTCGTTACTTCATCCTTAAATAATTACACTTGGTTAAAGAATTATATGTAATTGTTTGGGGGGAGGGGAGAACTTCATATTTATTTGCTTATATATTTGAATGATTTCCTGCCCCTACCTTTAGCCCCCTGCAATCAAAGCTATCAAAGGAAATAATAATAATAAAAAAGCAAGGAAAAAGAGGAAGTGTTTCCTTATGATACTACTTTGTAATATGCAACTATACCAAGTGGCAGAAGTATATTTGATTTATTACTAAGCTCCATTTGAATCTTGACAATTATGGAATTAGTATTCTACTCCACAGGAAAAAAAAAAAAGGCAAAAACTGTTACATTTATAGCTCAAGTTAGGAGGTAGTGATTTAGATAAGGCATATCCTAACAAAAACAGGACTGCTAGTACTATTAGAATCACTGCTTTTTCCTCCCTATGTTGTATCCTTTGCTATAACTCTGTTAATCCCTTAATCTTTTGTTTTTCAGAATAATGAGTGTAACAAAGCTGCTGATGTATTTTATGACCCTACTGATGAGTGGGAACCTGACCTTTCAGCTGCTTCTGTTTCCTCTTTTTCCAGAAGAAGGTAAATTGTTTAGCTCCTTCCTTTGTCTATGTTTAAAACGAAGTTAAAATTTACTAACTTGTGTAATCATCTAAATAGGTTTTTCAGCTTTACATTTATTCTTCTTTATGATCTTGAACTTAAGTGAAAAGCTGTGCGTTTGTGGTGAGAGGGAGTTGGACTAAGTGGATTGTTTTGCTTTGGTTTGCTATGTGTTGTGCTAGCTGCTGAGTCACTTAGTGAAGTTGTGGAGAAATAATTCAGGTGAAAGCATAGATTAAACAGAATGTGGAAGGGGGGAATTGCAGACCAATTGATGCCACACAGATGCTTTTGTTTTTAAATGCAGAATGCTGTAGCAACTGGGGAGGGGGCAGTCTAGATGCCCAAGAATGAGTACTTATGAATTTTAACCTTACTCCATTGCATGTAAGGTGAAAAGTGGAAGCATAAGATAATATATATGTGAAATCTTACTAAACTTTTTAGTGGTGATTATTTTAATCAATCTAAGTATCAGGCAACAATTTGATTATGATAGGGAAAAATTAAAAAGGGCCCTTTTTGGGTAATCTATGAAAATGACCTATGGGCAAGAATAACTTCCTATAAGGTCGTCAATGACTTTTAATAGACATACTGTCTTTTTAAAAA